TGATTTCCCAGCACAAAAAAGCCATCTTCCATTAATTCGCACGAACAATGCCTGAAATTAGTCCTTGTCTCAACATTTTGGCCAGAGAAAATGAATATGGCAAGAGATTCCAATCTCTTCAGCATGATTCATTGGTTGGGAACCAATAAAAATCATTCGTGTAAATATAAATACAGCAAATCAATCGTCTATAGAATCGTGATGTTCTGAAAAGTCTCTGGAAACAATTCCCCTTTTGCGGTTTAGCGCCTCACCTTCGGTCGCAGTGGGAATTATAGCGTCTTGGACGCCGGCTGAGGAAGCAGAGGAGAAAACTGACACATTTGGATTTGACCTAATGCTAGAGTTTCTGAGTATTTGCGAATAGACAAAAGGCTGTCGCTGGCAATAAGAAGATGGCACCGTGAATAAAATGTGAGACTGCATAATACAGGCGAAAAGTCTTGCCTTCCATTCTGAAGTGCACCACACGAGATTATTACTTTTTCCCTTCGTGATATTTAGTCACGTTTCTATAACAATCCAAGCTCAATTTCATATATTGTGCTTGTGGACTGAGACTTGTGTGTGTGCAAGGGGCAGATATTATGCTTGAAAGTGGTGTACAACTTCATGGAAGTGGAAGAGATATTCTAAAACCTTCTATTTCAACAAATTGCGCCATTTTCTACATCATTCTGTTACTAAAAATCAATTTTATTGCTTTTTCTAGGTTATGTGATTGATTTAAAACAGATTCTGGTTATTGAATAATCCTCAAAATCATGAAAATTGTGTTTAATCTGGCAATATTTTATCTCTTATTGCCAAATTTGAGCTCTTTGTTCTAAATAAGTTCATATTAGGTAAGAAACAGTATAAAAGTCAATCATAACCTCAAAAACATCATTTCAGTGTAGAAGAATGTCTCTTTTCTGAGTTATTTCCTCGGTTTTGTGCTTAAAAGGGACATATTCGCCATATTAATTAATTTCCTGGTGTAAAATGGCTCAAATTACTTCAAGAAGGATTTTTCAATCCGGATTCATAACCTCACAATTTGATAATGATGCGAAATTTAAGCATTTGAAGAGCCCGAACAGTTAAAGGAGTCTAAAATTTGTCTTCAAATACGTTTAGAAGTGTCTGAAGTGTTGGAGATTCTGCAGAGGAATTGTAGTTTGCAGATTTGAGGCATATTATCTTCCCCTTGGTGTGTATGCTTGGCGTTCATTTGGAGGCACAAATGCGCGATGTATAGATATATTTACAGAAGTGATTCTTCACTGTATAAAGCCAATATGATGGCTGCGAGAGGAGTGGAAGGTGAATGGGCCGAAGAGGGCGAAGAACGGTATGGAAACTCATACGAAAATCAGCAGGAACACTTTCAGACGATTATGCTGGCTCTGCATGACACTGTGGCATTTTCATATTGGTGGAAGACATACAAGTTCTTTTGATGTTGAACGTGAGACGAGGGCTCTCCCTCTCCCACTCTCTCTCACACTCTCCTCAGGATATATGGAGGAATTATTGGACATTTCAATGGGACCATTAACTGTCCATGGGAGTGCATTTGTGTCTAATAAATCACCCCAAAATTAATCTTCAATAACACTGATTGACGAATCCCACATCATCAAAGGCCACTTCATTGTTAAATACTCTTCCATTGCATTTGCCACATCGAATCGCTTGCATCGGCCTTTGTCAGCAGTATTTAAATCAATTATGCCTCTGATTATGCTTAAATGATAAATCAGATACGCATTATCAACGCACACGGATGTTCAATTAGGCTTGTCGATTAGAAACCCTTCAATTGATTGAAAATTCAATTTTACTCCGCAAAATACCGCCTGATTAAATATCTCGCGGGCATGGAATTTCTATGCTGATTAGCGCGAGTCTCTCTCTCGTGACAACTCTCAATGGCACAACAGCGAATTTTATCGCTCTTTCGTTAGGATATTTTCATCTTGATTCCAGCACCCAAAAATAAAGTGCTTTAGAATGATGGCAAATAAATTAAAACGGTCAATTCAGCGGACATTTATTGGTCTCTCTATTGGCAATTTCGTGAGGTTAATTTTGATAAAGTTGCGCCCTAAACATTAAGAGCATCTTTCACTCCACATCAGCCTTTCACTCCCGATCGGCCACTTTTACGATCATTCAGAGAACTAATTATATAATCTCCTCGCGGGAATTGTTTCCTGATAAAAATTGTCTCCCCGAAATAAGATTTTGATGGCGCGCTGTCTTTTTTACGACCGACTAATATGCATCGTATTCTTCTGGTGGTGTTGCGCCGTCACCCAGTCGCGCACTCATCATCATGAAGTTGAGAATAGAAATAGAGTCCAGCGAGTGGAGAATAAAAAGGTTTTTAATAGTGATTTGATGGTGAAATAGAACGTCACTTTAAATTATTAAATTACATCGATTCCCGCGTGTTTTGTTGCTTGAATTTATAGCCACTCGCTCAATTCTCACGATGCCGAGGATGAGGGACGGTGGATCATGATGCCGCGAGACGCTAAAACGGCCAACAAAAAGTGCCTGCTCGCCTATGACAAAGCTTGATGCATTCAGTTATGTGAAAGTTGATCTCTTGCACTTTATTTATGGACAGATAATGGTGTGCGCGATGGTATTAGAATCCAATGATTGCAAAATGCACACACATCCACCACTCACTGCCGGATGATGTGACAGAGAGTGGCGGGAAAGATGCTGAGGAAGAAGATGAGCATGGCCTCATATGGCGCTGCCATGTCTCATGCGCTCTTTTCCAGCAATTTCATGTCAAATCATCAATATCATCGTGAATAATTCTAAGCATCTCTCGCACTCTCTGCCAAAGGTTTTAGGCCTCAATTTGAGCCCATCTTCCTCCTCTCCTACTCATGAACACATCTCCGTGCAATCAATGCATATCCATTATTGAAATTTGAACCTCTTCCGAGAGATCCACTCTCAGGTGGATCTCTCTGGCGCCCATCTCTCGTCAAATTATGTTAAATTGATTTTCTCATAGAGATGGAAAATTTAGACAAAAGCCCGGCCTATTCGAGTTAATTGCTTCATTTTAGCATTCCACACACAGAAATCATCAATTGACTCTTATCTAACGCAAAGCATCTTAAGAAGTGGAGTGCTTTGGAAGTACGCGCCAAAGGCAAGAAGTGATCAATTTACACCCATAACGCCAATGCATTGTCAAAACATCTCGGTGTGCCGGAGAAGAGTTGGAAAAGCATGTGATTGTGAAAGAAGGAGAGGAAGTTGTGCAAGAGAGTCGTGAAATTTGACGAAATTCACTGTGATATGGAAAAGACTTTCAATTGTTTCTATAGTTAAATCTTCTATAGTAATTTGGCACTATTTATCCGGCAAACACAGTGAAAACAATCTAAATTATGCTAATTCCATCAAATTGCACTCTCAGTTCATTTAAGAAGATGAGTGCCTTCTGCTGGACTTCCTGATTGTCTGGAGATTAGCGTTTGTGCAGTTTTGAGCACCAATTAATCCACCGCATTCAATTGAAAGTCATTTCACAACAGTCCAGAGACTTTGTAACTAATAGTCAATTTAGCCAATTAGATGGCATCTCTGCAGTGAAAGTTTCGATGGTCACCTCTTCTCGTGTGGCGCAAAAGATGATCTCTAACGAGGCAAAGAGCTAAAAAGCTGTTTTGTTTTCCAAATATGAAAATCACTTTTCCATAAAACTGGCTATTCTCGCTGGAGTGACTGGCAGATTGCGCGGGATCTTGCGTTAACTTAATTATGTGGCATTGCCGCGCAGTGAGTAGTAAATATTATTTTGTTATGGCTATTAGGCATGGAGGAAGAGTCTCTCAGAGGCAAATTGCCATCGATAGAGTCGCGCAGAGTCTCTCTGGCGGATGGCATTTTGAGGGCGAACACGACAAGAGAGGAGTTTCCAATCATTACTAGAGCATATCGCGCGATCAAGTCTTGATTCCGCCACAATTCACTGATGCTCAAAATATTAACTGTTCGCCACAGCGACAAACTTTGATAGAGAGACGATCTTTTAAACTCCGACAAGAACAATGTGGTACTGAAGCATAGAAATGTAAATTATAGTTCTTTCGAGCAAACACGGCCTTTTTCACCCAACAATTGTACCTTGAACTATGAACAATGGCAAAAACAACACAAACAGCCAATTCAGAGCCCCGGCGTTTTTATCTTCAATGCTTTTGTACGTAAGTTACATATGAATGGGCCGAAAAACAGCCCACGACATCGCAAATGGAGCATTAATTTCTTTTGCTGTGCAATTGCTAATAATTCGTACTTTGGACAATTTCCGGAAAAATCACTGACTGAGGTGGAAATTAAAAGAACTGGAGTGAATTGATGGATTTTTGGTGTCAGTGCCACTCTGGCAAATACAATTTAATTGACAGCGACATGCAAGGCGCATTCGAGGATTCTCTCCCCATGACATTTTATCCAGCCGCAGTTATGCAATTTAGCCGGGAATAACGAGCAAAATCACGGCTGTAATTACTAAATTACAGACTTTCTGCTTGTGCACAACTACGGTGAATAAATTAACAATGCTGCTAATTGTTTTCATTTATTTAGAGAAGGAGAAGATAAAAAGACAAAATCAAAATTCATTTCAGAGCCAAAAATCTTCAGCATTAACAAATTCTACGCACATTCCAAACTGTAAAACCAACATTTATCTTCAGCTAGATTAGCGTCTCTTGGGCAGAAAGGCACAATTTTTCACTTTAATGGTGAAAAGAGCAGCAAATACTCTTGTAGTTAGCCGAAATTTAGTGGGTGCTTTTTTTAGGTCAATTGCCAGGCATTATTTGCCGAGAGAATCGCTCAAATATAGAGCAGACGGATTGAATATTTGATGGGGAAGAGTTCAACCGCGAAAGTTGCCAATCATACACTGACTGCAAGTCGATAATTTCACTCAATAAAGAAAGAGCCCAGATATGGTCAAAGGGTCACAACTTTACCTCCAATTCCGTGAGAATTGTGACGCACTGCTCGCGAGGAACGGAGTCCTCAATCTCCACCACAACATCTCGATAGGCCGACTTGGTGATGGTCACAGCGAGACACGGCCAAGTGTTTATCACTGCGAGAAGTACTATCAATGCTGCTCTTGCCATTTTGCAACTCAAGTCAAGCCTTTCCAAATACGCACTTGAAGATTATTTTCTAACTGCAAAACGCCACAGTGTGTCTCGAGTTTTCTAATTTGCCAATACACCTCTTTTTTTCTCGCTCCTCTCGCCTTTCAGTTCCTCAGCGTCACCATGGCGATCGGGTCGTGAACAACAACACAAGAGAGGGTTTTTCGGAAAAGCGTATCTGGCCAATTCACATTATGTGGCACGACAAGAAATTATTGATTCAACAAACATTTGAGCACTTTTATTGTTACTTTTGTCGGTTATTTTTGTGAAAACTCTGAATACAGTGTCACGCACCAATAGCCACCTTCCGCTCTTTAAACTTTTCCAACTACGAGGCGCGCACAAAAAGGTGGACAGGTGTAAAATATCGGAAATGTGCACTGACGAGAACCCTTATTTGGCTGCTAAACCACAACACTCCGCGCACAACTGGATCGTCTCACTCTATCTTGTGAGATCACTTGAGCTGGGAAATCGACTGCGATTGTCGCGCTGGACTCTGAAATCCTGAGACGAGAAAGTCTTGGCGCTGCGGCGTTCGATGCGACTTGCCGTGTCCACGGAACGGAACCGAATGAGTCGACAGTGAGCCACAACGAAGCCTCGCTGCCTCGCCGGCTCGCGCTGCGAGTGTGTGCGCTGGAGTCACGACTTGGAAGAGCGCTTCGTTTTTTCCACAGAGCTCTTCTCCGGGTTCAAGAGGCGCGGGTGGAGTGTGGATGTGGTCGTTGGTGAAGTCACTGTACCGCACATGTGCAACGGTAAGGACAGAATTCATCGGAAGCGGAGCACGAATTTCAAGGGAAATCCCTTATTTCCACTCAAAAGTTGCATTGCAGGCAGAGTTAAGACGATTTGGAGCCTTGAAAGGATTAGCATGGCTGCGCGATTACCATAGATTCAGGAGGAATTTCCGAGTTGAAGAGAAAAACTCACTCTGGAAACCATAGATTCTCAATTGTGGTTGTTAAAAATCCCTATTCAATGGATAAATAGCTCTTTATGCTCTTTAAGTCTAAGCGACAATCAAAATGGCTAATTACAGTGTTAGCAGAATGCTAGGCTAGAATTCCATTTCTTACCTAGGTAAAGCTAGAATTTAAAGCGATTACAGACCTACGGATGATCCACACGAGTGCTGGTTGAGCGATAAAACGCGGATTATCCCTCGATATAACGAAAAATCACTTGTGGATGATTTCACCTTTACATACTTCGGGTAAACCTCGTCCAAAAAATATCCTGTCTTCGAGGTCAGCGAGCAATGTTCGCAATTAGTGAGTTGTGCCACTCGCACCACCAATGCCCGAGTGTAGTCTGTCAGGTATGGGGAACACATCAATTTCCTGCACTTCCCGTAGCGTTAGCTGCTGTGCTCACGTTGGCGAGCCCTGGCATCAAGAAACCAGTAAATTCACATTCATGTCGCGCTATAAAGTATTCCTTATTTATGTAAATTCACGAAGAGCCAAATCTCCCGCCGTAAACACGGCGCACGGGCATTTGGGCATTGGAAGAGGGCAGAAGACTCTGATAATGAATTTTGTGTTTGAATATTTTCTCTTGCTTGTCCGTGGTTTATCTGTGGGTGACACTTTTAGTATGTGTGATATGCACCCATGTGGCGATGCTGCATGAGGAGTTTTTCCACCTCAATGGATGTGCATATCAATTAAGTCTATGTTAGCTTCTCAACCTTTTACCTACATTTTCGACGAGCCGCCGCGAGAGTCAATGATATTCATCTAGTGTCTTGCGCAATACCTGCACCGATGTAGGTTCTCGCGGGCATTCCATTTGGCTTATTGCATTCACAACATCACTCAATTGAATTGTGGTGAATTACAAAATTCCCATCATGAGCATCGGAGCCGAAGAAGTCAGTATCTCGGCGTCCCGCTTTTCCCCATCCAAAGCCGAACATCGTCATTGACACTCTCCTCTTCAGCCAACGGCGCAGAGCCACTCACTGCACAGGGTGGCGTGAATTGGCTGCCAAAGCAATCACATGGCCACCGAAGAGAACTGCAAGAACGACAAAAATTCCAAGGCTCGAAAATTATTTCTAATTTCACGTGGAAACACCACTCAATTCGTCCTTCAGCGACGCACTTTGCTGGCGGAATTGTCGCTGTTCTGAGACACCCTGTCGGCAATAATATGTTACAATTGATTTTTTCACTCTATCGACAATCGCCAATTTGACTTTTGTGTGTGCTCAATGGAAACGTAGGAAAATATTTGATAAAATATCTGACTAATAGCAATGCTATTAATTTTTTCTCCCCACCTTTTTTGAGTCTGTTGGCAAATCAAACATCTTTCCGCGTGAACTTTGGCGTTAGACGTGAAAATGAATTTGATTTTAGACAAATTTGTCTGCTTTTAAGTGAATTTCTTGCTCAGATTCTCACACGAGCTTTGAAAGTGATTTCAAATTTATTGGTGAAAAATGTTCAAGGCTCATTAATAAATTACAAGTAATTGATTGATGTGAATTTTTTGATACTTCACCGTGAATACTTAAGACAATTACCTGCTTGTACGATCATGTGTACAACTTTTCACACTCTGAGGTGTTTTAAGCCCGAATCTCTGTAAGTCGAGAACAATAAATCAATGGACGATGGAAGAGCGCGAGACGCGCGCTTGTGAGAAAGACTTCAATGCTGCACAAGACGAGGAGTTTCAATGTTAGACGTGTTGTTTTTACCTCTCGGCAAAAATCTAGCCAATTATTTCCTTTTTGCCTTCGCATCTCAAAAGTCTCTTTTCACTTTTTTTTGGACAGAATGTTTGGATATATTGCTCAACATTGTCAAAATTTCTTTCCGCCTCGGACTTTTTGCCCTGACAAAATAGAGTTATAAAGATCACAAACACGGATAAAGTATTTTGGGTACAAGTTTTTGGAGGAGAAGCCAAAAAAAATGAAAACAAATCGAGTGTGATTTCGAAGACTGATAACAATTTCCTCCGTACAGACAATAAATCTACACAAGACGACGACAAAAATCTTTACCATTTTTTGCTCGCTCTCATCTATTTTCATGCTTCTCTGGAAGTAATGCCACGGATGCTTCTCTTTGTCAGATTATATATTGCAGGGGAGAAAAAAAGGGAGCTCAGATCTGAAGTCAGACGATTGAGTGGAAGAAATAAAATTTCAAATATTCTAGAATGATAATCTCTCGATGCGCGCGGCTTTTTTCAATCCACTCCGATTTCACGGTCTTAATGGCAGTTTTCGTGGAGTCATCAAATGCCCAGCAACAGAGCGCGAAAAGGGGTGAAACGGAGGCGTAGGAAATTGCTGACTGCTCGCTGGGAAATTTCCTGGGAATAAGGAGAATCAAATAATCGAAATTTATATTAAAAAATAACCAAAAAATGCTTATTTTCGGGGTAAAATGGCAAAATAATCAAAAATTGAATATACAACTCTAGAACAACTCTAGAACAACTCTAGAACAACTCTAGCGGCAATTTGTGGAGAAAATAATCGAAATATTAATAATCACAAAATAATTGGTTTAAAATCACAATTGAATTTCTCCCTTGCTTCTCAATGAATGCGAGATGCAAAAGAAAATCTGTATCAGTTCTTATCTCTCTTCTGCTCTGGGTCTTTTTTCACCATCTCATGTTTACTTTCAATTCAATTCTCTGCATTTGCTATCAAATGTTTGTTGACTCTACTGACAATGAGTCATGTTTATTCTCCTAACTGCCAAAATATCTTGTGTTTACTTTGCTGCTTTTGGGAAAAAAGACTCCTTGGCATTTCCTCTGCCTTTTGCCTTCGCCAAATCCTTGGAATTCCTCGCCTTCTTGCGACAAAACGACCCAACATGCAATGAGTCTGTTTGACAGTGTTGACCTACGGGCCAATAGAGCCGTAAAAATTCCTTTCGCCATGGCCCAATCTGGACGTTCTGTCGTCGCCGTAGCGCCAGAACAACCCTCTTCATTTGGGATTTACCCCGTGACTTCCAGTGCGTGGCAATTTTTCTCAATGACTCGGCGATCGTATCAGTGGATGGATTTCCAAAAATTCATCATGAATTAATTGAGGGCATTGCTGCGTGACAGGAGTCGTGAGGATGCGCTCTTCCTGTCGACACCATCATTAGAATTCTCCCAATCGCGGAGGATGTCTCATTGCCTCTTGTCGCTCATCTCTTTGGCGTAAGCACAAGAGCAACAAGAACAAAAAGACATTTTCACACGTGATGTTAATACAAATTTCCGATTTATATTTTGCTGCACACCAACTGTCTTCTCTCACCAAGTGTGATCCTCTTGTTTCCCGACGTGCAAATGGGGAAATGCTGGGTGAGCACAGTCATCTCACCAGGCCTGGTTTAGTGTTAATAAAATGCACTTTTTCAGCCAACAAAGCGAATTGTATTTTAATGCGTACAAGTGTGATGAAGGCGATGGTAGAGAAAAAAGTCCTAAAACGTGAACAGACAACAAAGTTTTCTACCATTCTTATTCATGAGCAATCCCTTTACCATATTTCTTCCCTCGAATGCACCTCCGCAAGCCTGACAATTTTATGACTCAAAGGAAAATGTTTTCTTTGAATTCTGCAGCACAGGAACAAAAATCCAAAGCCTTGCCAGACGTGCTCACTCATAATAAGTATGGTCAAGCTCACATCCTCTCTCTCTCTATCTGAGATTTCGGAGAAGAGAAAATCACACTTGAGGAATTTTAGCCAAAATATCACGTCGCAGTGTCTTCTCAGCGCTTTTCCACAAAACTCCTTGCGGGTGATTTGCATGGGAAAGAAGCAATTCTGCAAGTAAATCTGGAACACCAAAGCATCTCTTATGCACATCACACCCTTTGTCTATCAAAGTAAACACGATGAAAATATTCTATCGCATTAGCGACTAAAAAATGCCCTCCTTTCCTCACGTACTTTCCAACGATGGCATTAGAGCAAGCGAGATTGTGAACAATAAATGCGTGTTGCTCAAGAACTCGGCGAGTTATGTGATTGTGTAGTGGAAAAATCAATTAATGAGACATAATAAATTGAGTTGAGTTGGAAGAAAAAATGATCTCATAATTTCTCCACAATTCCCATATTGTGGGGCTCATAAAAATTTCCCACAGAAAAATAAGAAGAGATTCATGTAAATATTTACTAATTTATTAACAGTTTATACACACTTGCGTTCGCACTGAAATAAATAAAAATTCTGTTAAAACTGTAGGAAGGCAGATTTTTGTCTCCGCATCAGAAGAGTCTGAAGAGATGAATGTAGCGTTTCAGCAGATCGTCTTTTGTAGCGAGAACTTTTCTCTTTTCACCATCTTTGGGAGTTTGCGGGATGGAGAAGAAGATGAAAAAAAGCGGAGAGATCGAGGCACACACAAAGACGGAGTTGTTCTTCCCTCAATGGGAGACACTGTTTTCTGTTACTTTATCATTTTTAAGAGTAAAAATAAGATCCAGATGGCTTTACACACGCACAATTTTTACTGAAGCGCATAAATCTCATCAAAATTCTTCCTTATTCCCTTCGTTTCGTCTCCTCACG